GGACAGGACGGCGGGGGGGTGGCTGAGTCAGCAGTCAGCCTGTGGAGGGGACCAGGCCCGCATCTGACTCAGCAGCCCTCAGCAGCCCGGAGCCTTGGGTTTTAAGTAGGGCAGCAATGGCAGGGGATCTGGAAGCAGACCAAAGGATGCAGGGAGGGAGAAGGAGACAGGTGCAGGGGGAAGGGGGCCTGCACCTCACCTTCAGAGATGAGGAGGCCGTGTGGCAAAGAAAAGACCACAGGCTCTGCAGCCAGAAATCTCAGATCCTCATAACACCTCCTCACTGGGAGGCATAAGGCGAGTCCCTTGAACAACCTGGGCCTCTTAAATGGGGGTAATACTTGCCACTGGGCAAAGGCAAGAGGATTAAATGCCTGACACACAGCAGACCCCCAGTAGGCAGGAGCTACACTTCAGAGAGTAGCCATGTCGGCAGGAAACTACAAAGGCATAAGGCAGGCGTGGCTAGGGCCAAGGCCCTGGTCAGACTATGATCAGTGACGGGGAAGGAAGAGAGGAGATTCAGAAAAGCCTTCTTTCCTTCCCTGTGGCATCCACGGGTCCTGCTTCCCCAGTGACCACGGCTACACTCCAGGCTCAGACTGCGGTGGAGGACCCAGGCAAAGCCACGGTCACCGAATCAGCGCAGAACATTCCCCAGGGCATCTGGCCCTGCCCTACCCAGCCACCTGCACAGGGTGGGCTGGGAAGGGCGCTGTCCCTGGCAGTGCAAGCCCGGTGCAGGGTATGACTGAGACTGCAGGGTAGCAGCCCACGGTGGACGGGGACAGCTGTGGGTCCAGATGTCCAGCCAGACCAGGAGCTCCCGAGGGAGGTGTGGCAAGGGAGGCTGGGGCCCTGCTCACCTGGGCCAGCACTGCCATGAACTTTTTCAGGGCCACCAGACGCTGCCCCTCCAGGACAGAGAATCTGCCCACTTCTACCCGTAGGATGTAGTGCAGTGCAGATTCCAGATCAGCCATGTAGATCCTGGAGCTGAGGACCCAGAAGGAGGTGGAGAGAGAAAGGGTTAACCACAGGCCAGGGGCTGGGGACGAGCACCCAGGGCTACAGGGAGAGACAGGGAGGGCCATGCCGATGGTCACAGAGTCCTGTAAGTTAGCACTAGGCTCTGCCACTAACTAGCTCTGTGACCTTGAGTAGATTACTGAACTTCCTAGAGCCTCTATTCCCCATTTATTATAATAAAGAAATAATAAATTGCTCATGGGTAGGTTTCTGAGAGGAATAAATAAAAGCACAGCTGTAAGTCCCTCAGCAGCTCCTGGCATAACGTAGTGGGTCCCCTTGTTCAGGCTCAGGGCCAGTCCCTCCTGTGACTCCTTAAAGGTGCTTTTAATTAGGCTGCTGGCAGAAGGTTGAGTTTTGTTCCCTGTTCTTAACAAAGACCCCTAGGGACAGACAGACCAATAGGTGCACCCAAACAATGTGGCTCTGGAAAAGCTGGGCCCTCTTTGAAAGACCAAGGCTCTGGCTGCCCACCAAGGCAGGGCATGGTGGGAGTTGAGGGGTTAGGAGGGGAAGTGGTGTGTTTTTATTTGGGGGCTGATGTCCTTGCAACTGCCAGGCCTTGGGTAGCGGGTGAGGCTCCATGTCATACCTCTTGGGCTGATCCCAGCCCCGGGGGGAAAGCTTGCAGGCTCCAAGCAGGCTGCCCCACATGGAGCCCATGATACTTGCTTGGGGTCTGGACTTGGGCTTCTGAGGCAAAGGGCTCGTCATGTGTTGGCTGCTTCCCCACCCCTGCTCCTGAGGCCTGGGTTCTGTCCTCAGTTCTACAGTGAGCCAGCTCTGGGAGGCAACTTAGTCTACCCCTCTGGGCCTGTGACCTCACCTGTAAAATGAACTGATTACTTTCTACCTCCTAACACTGCAGGGAACCAACAGGGTCAGCTAATGGGGTGAGCACTGTGACCACTGTGCTCTACCCTCTGGGCCCCACTGTGCTGTCCTGGGTCTTAGTACCCCTCCATTCTTGTGGTCTGCCTCAAGATGTGGCCCCATGACTAAAGGAGATCATGTATAGAAGGTGCCCAGCACAGAGTTTGGCACCTAAGGCCAGTAAGTGTCAGCTATTGTAATTTGAATGATGTGAATCATCATAATGTGAATGACCATAATGACCGTTCCCACCTCTCAGTCTCTCTTTCCTTACCTGATTTCTTAAAAATCTCCCCATTAGTGCTTTCTACCCTGAAAGTCCTTCATGCTGGGATGCAAAATCCTCTGGAAATCAGATGACCTTTCCCCCAGTTCCCTTGTACAGTCTCCTTGTGGAGGCCACCTTCCTGATACAACTCTGAGCTCCCCGCTCAGCCATTTCTACTTGGTATACCGCCGGCTGCCAGGGCAAGAGGCTTATAGCCCCATCTCCTGCCCAATGAGCAGGGATTCCACCACAAGAGCAGAGCCAAGGAGCCTTGGAGAGAAAAGCAGCTTCCTCATGGTTAGTCTGTGCACAAAGATACAGGCTACCCCAGAAGGTAGTGAGCTCTCCGGCATCGGAGGCATTCAAATGAGGTCAGTAACTTCCTAGAAGGGACTGTAAACTCTCTGGGGGAATGGCCTGCACATCCGTGTGCATCTGTATTACAGTGCCTAGTGTGCAGCAGGTTCTCAAAAGTATCTGCAGAAGAGATAGTTGCTCCGGTGGGAAGTTGGTTGCAAGGCCACAGAGTATCCTTCGAAGCTGATTCTACTCGGTCTGGAATAGCGTTACATTTAAGGAATATGGGCATCGCAAGGCATTCGTGCCATCATGAAGGACACCAGTAAATGCTGTCCGGCACCTCCCCCAGGCAGCAGACACAGCTTCCACACAACCACAACTCTTCTGTGTACGGTCAGCAGCCAGGGGAGCCCAAAGGCCAAGGCCAGGCCTCGGGGGGTCTGGGATCGGAAAGGCATGTGCTAAGCTCAAGACAGGGAACAGAGTGTGGTGTGAAGGCCGGGGTCTGCGATCAGAGGCAAGGCTGGGGGGAGGGCAGTGGGCATGGCCTTACCGATCTGCGACTTTCCACACAATGGGAGCTACCGTGTGAGCAGTGGTTGGCACGACCTTGGTGGGGACAGCCTCCCGGGGGGCGCTGGAGAACCTCTGCAGGTAAGCGGTGTAGAAGGACCTGGATTCCACAAGCCTGTGAGGGAAGAAACCACAGAGGGCAGGCAGTGAGTATGGAGAAACGGACGCCAGGACAAATTCATGTCAGGAGAGGAGGCAGGTGGCTCAACTGACAGAAATGTTTATTTTTTTAATTTATTTTTTGAAGATTTATTTATTTATTCTAGGGGAGATGTCAAAGGGAGAGGGAGAGAATCTCAAGCAAACTCTGCGCCGAGTGCGGAGCCTGATGCGGGGCTCGATCTCGTGACCCTGAGGTCAGGACTGGAGCCAAAACCAAGAGTCAGGCACTCAACTGACTGCACCACCCAAGCGCCCCTTGACAGAAATGTTTATGAAGAAATATTTGAAGCTGGTTTTGTCTCATCCTGAGTGAGGTCAAACCAAGGCACCCAGGCCTCACTTTAGCCTTTCTATCCACCACTCATGCCGTGGAAAGCCCCTCTGACACCAGTCTGAGGTCAAAGGCCCATCTGGAAAAGCAGCGGGCCTGAGAATTCCTCAGCCTGCCCCGGAGAGGCTGTGGGACGGAGCTACTTCTGCCCGTGGACAGGATGGCGGGGTCAGACTACCTTCACCACAGACCAAGGGAGGTTGCCCGCTCACAAGCTTGCTCTGAGGTACCAGGGGCCACATTACTTCCCCAGGATGTCAAGGGAGTTTGATACCTGATTTTTAAAAAACAGGTAGTAACAACAACACTAAAATTCTCAAATCCTTGTACAATCCTTTTGATTTCTTTCTCTCTTCTGGTCGAGAGTCCTCGAGGTCAGGCAACCCCTCCTCCTGGTCATGGCCACCTGGAGGGAGGGTGGGACGGGACACCCCAGGGGGGCTGGCAGCGGGAAGCCTGCTTTCCCCTCCGTGGTCCCACCCGATGTTTATCCGAGGAGCAGATGGCTCAGGAGCAGCATCGTCACAAACAATTTTCCCCTCCACCAGCTCCAAGTGAGGAAACGATGCCTCCTCCCCACAGCAGGACTGGCACTTTCTGTCCCTCCCCGCCCCCCTGCAGCCAGCCATCAGGCTTCCCTCCCCCTCCCCGGGCAGAATTCCCTGACGAGGCTGGCCCAGTGCTGTTTGGCGACTGGGGCTGGCAAGGGCCCCGGGCCGTTGTCCTGCCTGCCTCCGTCCGGGATAGCACTAACGGCCCCGCAGAGCAGCTCACTGGGCACCTCAGGCAAGTCGTGATCTCCCTGGCCCTCGAGCTCCTGCCTACAGGAGCCAGGCGACATCAATCATCTGCCCAGGGAGGGCACCGAGGCACCATCTGGCACCATTTAACGGGCCATTCAGCGGCAGGAGCCTGACAGAGTGGCTGCGGCTGGCCTGATTGTTTTCTCTTGGCATTTTGGAACTGGCTATTGTCTAGCTCCTAATGAACTTTTCTGCAATTAGAAAACCAAAGGCGGGGGGGTCAGGCCTATCTGAGTGCATGCCAGGCCCTGCAGCCTGCGAGGAGTCTGTGAAGAGGAGTCTGTGAACGGAGGAGGATGGGGACTAGGGCCAGGGCTGGGGTGGCGAGAGTGCCGGAGCCGTGGTGAGTGCACCAGGAGCCTGAGGCCGGGACTCCTGAGCTGGGGGCCGGGGGCCGCATGCCTGGCACTGCCCACCGCTAACCTCCCCCCCCCCCCCCGCCGCCAGGGCAGGCAGCTGCTCCTCCTGCAGAGGGGGCTTGTCAGAGGAACTGCGGGAGAAAGAACCTGGCAGCCCCTGCGAGAGGCCAGCAGGCTTCTCTGGGAGGGCAGAAACGATGCACGCAGGGGGAGAGGGGAGAGGGACAGAGGGACGCACTGCACTCACACGTGGACCCGGGAGGCAGAGCCATTCCGAAACAGCAAGTAGCAAGACGGGAAGTCGGTGACCCCAAACTTGCTCACCACGTCACCCTCCGTGTTCAGGACCCTGCGCACTGTTATGCCCTGGTGCTGGGACAAGTCCAGAATCACCTGTGGAGACAGACAGATGTGTCGGGGGCGGGAGCCATCCAGATTCTAAGCCTTTCAGAGAGTGGACAAGTCCACATCTACCCCACAGGGGACACGAGTCACAGGCTGCCCAGGACAAGGGGCCCTGGAACTGCACACCACACACCCTGGATTTCCTAGGGTAGTCCAATTTAATATAATTTTCTTTCCAATGAAAGCAATCTGCAGAAAGCACAATAAAATGTGGTTTCATTTTTATTCTTATATTTATAAGGCTTTCTATCTATATTCCAAATCAGAAAAACATACTTAGACATGATTTTATTTTTAGAAAGAAATAAGGTGAAAAATCATATTAGCTAACTTTTGCTGGGTAGGTATTATGTGCTATTTATAGATTGCTTCACTGAATCTTCAAAATAATGCTATGAAACAGGAACTATTATTAGGAGACCAAGCCAGCAGGTACAGTCTACTCTGGCTGCCCGGGTTTGCATCCTGGCCCCACTGGCCGAAACCTCCCCGACTCAATTTCTTTACTTGCAAAACTGAAATAATAATAAACATACCAACCTCAGAGCGCTGTTAAGAGGACCGAAGGAGTTCATTTTATAAAATGTGTAATAGTGACTCGTGCATAGTAGGTATATAAGTGTCCATTAAAAAACTAAAATGCCTATTGCAAATGAAAACACGGAGGCTGAGCAGTGAAATCAAGTGTTGGGGTGACAGTTAGCAAGCTCCTGAACTGGGCAATAAACCCCAGTTCAATCTGGCTCCAGAGTCTGGGCTCTTGGCTACTGTGCCCTCCTGCTTCTCAAACTAACCATCTCTGAGCACCTCTGCGTGGACAGAGGGTCCCTGCCCCTGGGGGACAGTAGGGAGAAATTCTGATTCCAATAAACATTTATTAATCACATCCTCGTGACAGGAATGACCCCAGGCCTGGCAAAGCTCCGTGCCCCGCCCCATCTCCCTCTGTTTCCCCTCTCGGGGCTCAGAGGCTTGGAGACAGCCCGGAGCTCTCTGGATCTGCCTGATGAGTTTCAGGAGGAAAGCCATTCAGAGCCAACAGCGGGGTTTAATTTCATCTCCACCCTCATGCCTCTTCTGGGCCCCTGCACTGCCTTGGGACTTCACCCATGCCCTGGCCCGTCCCCCCTCAGCGCCCAGGAAAAGCCAGCAAGGGGTCTCGAGAAGTCTGTGAGCCAGCGGCAGAATGGAGAGCACTCTGCATGAGGCCAGAGGAATAGATCTTTAAAAAGCACCTACTCTGTGCCAGCTACCAATCCAGGTCCTTTCCCTAACCTGCCTCGTTGGACTGTGCCAGCAATGCTCTGAGGAAAGGTAATGATCACTGCTTTCCAGACAGGGAAACAGGGCTTGGGACAGCGGGGTAACTTGATTACGGACAGATCACCAGGGGCTGGAAATTCACACCTGCCTGTTCTGTTACCAGCTTCACGTGGCAAAGGACCTCACCTCCTTCTGATGGCCCCTCTCCGATCCCAAGCTCCAACTCTGCGGGGGTGGGGCAGTGTGGAAACCACTGGGGCTTGTGGGGCTCACAGACCTGGTTCAAAGCCCTGTTCCACCAATTCATTGGCTGGGGGATCTTCAACATGTTACCTAATTATCAACCTTTTTTTTTTTTTTTTAAAGATTTTATTTATTTATTTGAGAGAGAGGATGAGAGAGAGAGAGCCCATGAGAGGGGGGAGAGTCAGAGGGAGAAGCAGACTCCCTGCTGAACAGGGAGCGCAATGCGGGACTCGATCCTGAGACTCCAGGATCGTGACCTGAGCCGAAGGCAGTTGCCCAACCAACTCAGCCACCCAGGCGCCCCTGATTATCAACCTTAATTGTGAAGATTAGCGACTACGTGTGCCAGGACTCTAGTCCAGGGCTCAATGAATGTTACAGACGCGGGTTCAATGAGGGAGATAAAAAAGACATGGTTTTCAAATGGAAAGGTCCAGCTCCCACACTTCCCAGGTCCCCCAGTGGGGGTCAGGCCAGTGCTGGGCTAAGAAGCGTACGTGGCCGAGACCCTAGAATTCACTGGAACAGCCCTGTCCCTGAACTCATTGGGCTCTCTCCCGACAGCTACCCTGGGGTTGCAGGGACCTGGGGGCAGCTCACCTCTCTACCCAGGTAGGAGCCTTCCTTTTCAAAGATCAGGGCCAGGTAATCATCGTTGTTTCTCGCAAAGAATCCATCAATCTCCTCCAGCCTGCAAGAGACAAGGGCGGCAGTGACCCTCCACAGACCTGCTGGGGACCCAGGCGCGGCTGGCACAACACTGTGAGCACAGCCATATAGAGTCCTCCTGTTTGCACCCGAGGCTCCGTGGAAGTCTCCCCCTGCCAGCCCTCCAGGGGAAGCAAGCCAAACCCCTAGTCTCAGAGGATTCTGCTTCTGCTACCCCACACGCTGGTTCTCCATTTGGCCCACCTTGACTTTTTTTTTTCACGCTGTCTCTTTTAAGAATCTGGAGTGAGTACGAGGTGGTCTGGGGAGGAGGCAGAGGGTGGGGGAGTGGGGCTTTGAGACCAGGGGTCTCTATGTTCTGGGTAAGGGCAAGGCTTAGTGAATATGGACCAATGTTTAGTACCCATCAGGTTGGCAAGTTTACCTGATCTGAGGCTTTTGAGATCCCTTGGGACTGAAAATGCACCGTGAAGGATGTGTGTGCGTAAGAGGGAGACGGACACGGTCATTGAGAAATGTAATGAGTAAGTAAGGGGCAGGCTGGTGTGAATGCTTCCTGGAGAGAAAGGGTCTAGTTGTGCAGCCCCAAACCATAGCAAGACAAACGCTGGGCCCAGGGTCTCTGTGGGACCCTCCAGGAGGAAGGACATCTGGGCAAGTTGATTAAAAAAAAAAATTGTGGGTTGGATTCAACCCCAACCGATGCTTAGAAGCACACTCTCTCAGCAGGGCTATGGCTTTCGAGAACATCAGTAAATCGATGTGGAGGGCCTGGGGCACCAGGGCCTGCTTCATGAGGCTCCCCAGGCCCTGGAATCTTCAATGTGCTCTGAGGCTGGGCTCCCTCCAGCAGTGTCTGCTGGTCCTTGGATTTGTTCCTTCTTGGCAGGAATCCCTGAGGTGGGCTCTATCCTGTCTCGAGTTCTCATCTGGGAGGGCAAGACCTAGTGTTCTCGATTTATCCTCTGTGGGAGAGCGAACGCAAGGCACTGCGCCCCTTCCTCTCCTAGAAGAGGCAATCCTGGCAGCCTGCCTGGCAGGCAGACACGGGCCACCAGCCACCATGCCTGACACTCTGCGGCACAAGTCACGTGCCCCACCCCCCAGTCACAGCCACCGCTCAGAAAGATGACCACTTCCTTTTACAGACAGTGCTCCCTTTTCCTCTGAGCCTCCCTTCTTCATCCCTATGTCCACTCTCTCAGTGCCCCCTCCGGGTTAGATCATGTGAAGTCTGCTGCACCCCCTAAACATTCCTGAGGACAGACTGTGAAAAGCAGAGGCAGGTATGGCCTGGAGAACCCCCGCCCATCTCTTCCTTCCCACCCAGCAGGACGGGCCCTTGTCCCCCTGTCGGTCCCACAAAGCCAGGGCTCCTCAGGGAGGACCTCCAGTGATAGGGATTCTTCTACGAGCTGCTCCCGAGCGGCTCTGGGTTCTAGCCCACAGAGGTGTCTGCATCAGAGACAAAGGCCTTCGTATCCTCCACGCAGCTGTCCCCGCAACCCTCTCGCTCCCAGGCCTGTGATCCTGGCCCACGCTGCACCAAGTCTGTTCCAGCCCCGAATACCTGGCCGGCTCCAGCGGGGGAAAGGTGGGGGGCCACGTGTCACTATGGGACTCCAAGGCGTCGATGAGCCTCTTCCGCAGCATCTCCACATCAGCACCAGCCACTGGATGAAGACAGACACGGGGGAGGGAGGTGCATGAGGAGGGAGGGAGAATAATCCCAGCACCTTTGTCAGCTTCACTGAAACAAAGGGCCCAGGGCACAGGCTAGTTCTGAGAGAAACAGAGCACGGGTCAGTCCTTCTCTGTTAGAGCAGTGGGGTGGGTCTTCTGTGGCCCTAAGTTATACAAGAAGACCCATCCCTCAGAGGGCAGGAAACAGTCCCTCAGGCCTGGAGCCCAGGAGCGCTTTCCCCGGAGGCTGTCTGGTCTGTCCCTGTGGTTGTCAACCCCATTTTGACATGAAGGGTTGGCCTGGGTACATGGTGACCCTCCCCTCTTCCCAGGACCCTCAATGGACCAAAACAGAAGGGCTTCTTCAGCCTCCTTTTCCAGAAGGCATCTTCCAGGCTGGCTGGGAAGGCCCTGGGAAAACACAAACTCTGCTTTCACTTGGGAAACTCTTCACCCTGTGGACCTTGCTGGGCTCTCCTCACCTCAGTAGTAACCCAACAGAAAGAAAAAGAAGATATTGACAACCGGAACCAGGACACCCACCTGGCAGTGTTGATCCTGAGCCATTCTTGGAAAAGGCCTTAAAGAACTAGAAGCAAACACACAGGCAAGAGTCAGTAACACACAGAGCTAAGACTACCATATGGGTGCCAGATGGATCCGTGTCTAAGACCCGGCTGCCTACTGAAGGGGCTGACTTGGGGCAAATTACCTAACTTTTGTGAGCCTGTTTCCTTGTCTGTAAAAGGAGAACAGCGAGGTATCCGCTCCTGGAGCTGGACGCAGATTCCTGTCCCCACTGTCTCCGCATCCGATCCCCACCCCCATGGCTCTGAGGCACCCGGGGAAATGCAGGCAGCAGCTTACACACTCTACGTGTGGTGGACTGTCTCTCCGTCTTGAAATGAATGAATGAAAATATTCATGCATGAATGAGTGGATGAGGCACACTTGACTGATAAAACAAAGTTACTTCATACTTCCCCCAGAAAATGTTAGCTGCCCTCTGAGGCAATCTGTCCTTAGAGGCTGGTGTCTGTCCACCAAGAACTCGCAGCCTGGCTCAGCAGACACCCCACGAAGGGAGGGGTCTCCAGGTCAGGTCCTGCTGAAGGGTGGGCCTGAGCCCCTGAAGACACAGGTCTTGTTACAGACAGGTCAATTTAACTCATCGCTTTGTCCTCTTTTCCCCTTTATAGGACACTCCAGGCTCAGTCCTTGGGCAAGAGGACAGAGAGAACAAAAGACGAGTCATCACAATCTGGGCTTCTCCTAAGTGGCAAGACTGCTGCCAGAGCTCCGGCCTGTGCTCTCCTGGGCTCAGGAGGGAATAAAGTTTAGTTGTCCTGACAAACAGACAGTCATGTAAGTGAAGAGGACTCTTCCTGAGATCCTTGGGGGCCACCTGTAGCTTCCTTGGGCCTCTGCCTGCAACAGCGTGGCCATCTGGCCTTATTCCAAGCTGGTGGCTGAGGGCAGGCCCTGGGGTCTACCAGACCTGGGTATAAGCCCTGGCTCTGCCACGCACCTGCTGTGTGACCCTGGGCAATCCATTAACCCCTCTGTGCCTTCTCATCTTTAAGATGAGGATGGCGCCATCCACCTTGAGGAACTGCTGTGAGGATTCAAAGATGATACATCTCAAGTGCTTGTGTCTGGTGCATACAGTGAGGGATCAATAAACGTTAGCTGCAGGATTATTATCATCCCCTTCCCTTGTTCCACCATTTAAACACTAGGAAACACTGATCAGCTAGGGTGTGTTTATTCCAGCCATTTGTAGGCAGAACCCAAAAATTCAGAGGCCACCTGCCCATCTTCCCACTTGAGGAACAACAGAGATGCACAGAAGCCGCCCATCTCTTCCCACCTGCAACCTTCTCCTGTTCCCACTGCCCTCACCTGGCTCCTAACTCCTGCGAACTGCTTTATTCTCTCTCTTCTTAGACCATCAATATAAACTTTTATTCTGGGTAGAAACCATCTGCTGATACATGCCACATATATTTATAATAATGTTCTTTGCAGTTACTGAACAAATTTTGAGTGAAATTATTCGTTATCCTAACACTTGTAAAAATGCTCACAAATTCCCTGAATTGTGGGAATTTAGGGCAGACCCATGCGGCTACAGCTGTTATTTTCAGTTATGAAAAGCAGCATGGTCACTTTTCTTCGGCCACCACGCCCTCCCCCAGATCTGAGCAGGTGCCTTCCTGAAGGCGGCTGACCTCACCCCCTTCTAAAGGCAGGCTGCCAGCCCCCAGCTGAGCGTTCTGAAGGCCCCGGCTGGGGGCAGCAGGGAGTCGGGCAGGAGCCCCAGCAAGACTGACCCAGGGGAATGCAGGGACTCGGAGACACAGCCCCAGAATGGAGGGCTACGGGAAGGCCCCCCGTGTCCCTCCGTGTATGCCGTGCTACCGCATAGCTGTCCCTTTTGTCCTCAGACGCCTCCCACCTGCCTTCCAAAGTGAGGACAGCACTGGAGCTCCGGCTCCCACACTTCACGTTCTGAGGAACTTTTCCCTATCAGTCTCCCTTTCCCCTTTCCTGCCAGCAACTTCCCTATGCCTACCAACAGATTCTGATCCTCCTAGTTTCTTAAAAATAAAATAATAAAATAAAATAAAATAACAAAAAGGACGGGAAGGGAAGGTGGATGGGAATCGAGAGAAGCCCTCCTCCCCTCTCCAGTTACTGCAGGTCCCGTTTCCCTGGGCTGCCAGGTTTCTCAAAGCAGAGTCTGCTCTGCCTCTCCGACCACCCCTCTCTTCACGCCCATGAGCCATCAGCTCCGCTGACCCTCTGCACCGCCCCCCTTGCTTTCTCTGCAGTGTCGGTCGTTAGCACCGCCTGCCTTACCCACAGGGCCAGGGGCTGCCACGTTTGGTAGCACATATCCCCGACGCTCTCCTTCTTAGCTTGCATGTTGCCACCTCCCTTGCCTCACCCGACACTGACCAGGCCTGCTTGGCCACCTTCACAGCCTTCCCCCCGCCCTTGTCCTAGCTTCTCCCTGACTCCTGTCTTGTGTCTGCTGCCCCCAGTCTCTCCTCCTGCCACGTATCAGCTCTTGACACTCTTTCTGTTTAAAAAGCCCTGGGAAGGGGCGCCTGGGTGGCTCCGTCGTTAAGCGTCTGCCTTCGGCTCAGGTCAGGATCCCAGGGTGCTGGGATCGAGCCCCGCATCGGGCTCCCTGCTCGGCGGGAGGCCTGCTTCTCCCTCTGCCACTCCCCCTGCTTGTGTTCCCTCTCTCGCTGTGTCTCTCTGTCAAATAAATAAATAAAATCTTTAAAAAAATAAAATAAAATAAAAATATTGGCATACTGGGATACTAGAACATTCAAATATGGGTAAGTTTTATTCTAGATGTAATTTGAATGAAAAATCTATATGCTTTATTTAATTAAATCTCTTAGTCAAATGAAATATAAACATGTTTATTTTTGCAAGAGTAAAACTCTGCATTAATTAATATGATCGTGAGAACTATAATTTTAACACATAAAGATAATTACTAAGAAATTTCAGGTAAATAAATAAGGAAAGAGTGTCAGTTAATATGCATAATAAGAGAATATATTAGCCAGATTACTTTAGAGAAAACTATATGCTTTCTGAACCTACAAACACTTATAACATTAAATTAATTATAACAGGGGTGCCTGGGTGGCTCAGCTGGTTAAGCGACTGCCTTCGGCTCAGGTCATGATCCCAGGGTGCTGGGATCGAGCCCCGCATCGGGCTCCCTGCTCGGCGGGAGGCCTGCTTCTCCCTCTCCCTCTGCTGCTCCCCCTGCTTGTGCTCTCTCTCCCTCTCTCTCCCTCTCTCTGTGAAATAAATAAAATCTTTAAAAAAATAAAAAATAAAAAGCCTTGGGAAGAATCGTCACAAACCAGGGGGTCAATCCATGCTTTTGAATGAAGGAGCAAGTGAATGAGTGAACAAACAAGCCTACTGTTTGTCTTCCTTGCCAACTTCATGTACTTGGTCTAAATGATTTGCAATCTGAACCCTTTGTCTCAAGTCCTCACCTGTCCTAGACTTGTTTCCTCCTGGTGCCCTCCACACAGGTACCAGCCCCCCACACCCCTCTAAGACTGAGTCACCCCTCCCCAACCTGTTTCTCCATCTGTGTTCCTTGTCTCACCCCATGTCCTCCCCTGTTAACCAGACCAGCATCTTCTCCTCCCTCAACTCCCATCCGCCAGTCAGTGGACGAGGTCTGTGAATTTGGCCTTTGTGATTCTTCAACAGTCCTCTGGGCCAGCTGCCTTGTCCAGACCAGGGCTTACCACCTATTTCCTGGACTAATGCACCAGTCCCTACCTGTCCCTCTGTGAGCTCAGAAATGTTAATCTGCTCCATCTTTTAATTCCCCAGCTGCTCCTCATTGCCACTTTGCTTAGTGGCACCACTCTGGTCTGATTGTGTCACTCCTCAAATCTCTTCCACGACCCCCCACTACCAGTGAATAATGTCTAAACTCACTGTGTTTTGAGGCCTTCCAGGATCTGACCCAAACTCCAAAACTTACCTTCCACTGCCCCTCTTCCCTACGCTTCGGCTATGATGGGCCTGAAACCTGAACTTTCTTGAGGACAGGACTACACTTGGGCATCTCGGCAAGCACCACAGTGTCTAGGACTCAGAAGACATCTGCTCAGTCGAACAGAGAACCTCTGTCCTTTGATCATTGTAGATGCTCATGTGAAAATCATATTAAAATCTAGTTAGGGCACATTTTTATCCTCCTATTAAAATGCATCCTTCTTAAGTCAGCTGTTGGAGGCGTGTGCCTCCACAGGGGAAACCACCACAACTCCTTGGGAACAGGTAATTAAGATATCAGCAGTGAGTTTTCTTTTTTCTGGGAGCGGTCGGCACCCGGTCCCTTTCCTTCCATCACTTCACACAGGAGCCTCTGCCTCCACATCTCCCCAGAGGCATGAGGTGGGTCTTTACCAAACTGTCAAGAAGCAACACCAACATCAACTGCCTTTCTAGGGGTCAAGTAAGGCTGAATGGGAAGCACACTTTCCAGTGGTGACCATCGATGACACTGAATCCAAGCTTTTAAAACAAGTTTCAAGGAAAATGACCCAGTCTCCAAACAGCTTACGGGGAGCCCAGGAGGATCCACAGGGCTAACCATTCCTACGCCGGAGACTGACTGTGGAGGCCAGAGGAGAGCAGGTGACTGGGGGCCCATATCCTTCTTTCAGAGAGAGGCAGAGTCACCCTTCTTGACATCTCCCCCCTCACAAGAGCCACAGAAGGTAACAGCCTAGCCTCTGCACCCCCACAGGGTATCCACCTCCTGGTCCCGAATTCAGGGCCCTGACATTACTGTGCTGCCTCAGCCCTGCCCATGAGCCTCTGCCCCAGCCAGACCAGTCTTCCCAACATGTCACACACTTCTGCCCACACAGGGCCTCTGCTCTCACCTCCTCCTCGGCCCGCATTCCTCCTCTCCTAGCCCAACCCCATGCAGCCTTCAACACCAAGTGGAAGTCCCCTTCTCTCTGATGCCTGAGGGAAAGGGCTCAGTGAGGCCCAGGGAGCTCCTCCAGTATCCGCTGCATACAGATCACTCCCCGCCTACTGGCGGGCTGGTAAGCTCAGGGCCCCCAGCAAACA